AGCTGTTAGAACTATGCTCTCATAATTCTTTTCTCCAATCTTTATGAGACTGAGGAACAGACTATCCCATTCACTGTTGAACACATGATAGGTGCTCAGTAATTAGTAGTAAAATTAATGGATTATTATATTTCAATTGGAAATACTTAAAGAAGATGACACTGGAAGAAGTGGATTAATCCTTTCTTTGGGAAGAGCCTATCTGAAATTGTCAAGACTCAGAGAATTAACAGCAACCTTAATGTTTCTGTTTCTGGTATTGTCTTTCCACATAACTGTGGTTCCTAGTGTAACAGGCTTTGGAGAGTGTGAGGGAATAAAAGGCAGGGAAGTCAGAGCAAGGCACATTTGTCCAGCCCTGAGCTCCTCAATGGCTCAGCAGAGAAAGGCATCAGCCTATCAAGTAGCTTGAACTAGGGGAGTGACTCAATGGCTGAAAGGGAAAGCTGGGAAGATGCTAGAAGGACATGAACAAGATGGTAGAAAGACAGATCAGAAAGAGAGTGGAAGGCACATCCTTCCATAATGCCTAAAAGTGAGAGGCCTCTGCCTTTGGGAAAAAATAAGAAAGAAGCTGCACATTCAGTTTGGAATTTCCTATATTTAAGAAACAAGAAAATTGTTTTGTTGTTTTGTTTTCACTACCATGAATTAACTTAGATAATAAAACCATGAAAGAAACTAATAAGACTATTACCCTTCATTTAAAATTCCATGCCCTTGACACTGGACTCGAGTTCCTCTTATACTCTCAGTGAGTGATTATACTCATATTATCTTAGCAAATGAATCTAACGTCTGATATTTCCTATCCCAATACAACATCTGATCTTTCCTATCAAGCCTTAAGTTACTGTCAAGAAGCTGGAATGATTTTAGTGATGATGACTTTCAGCTTAGCAAGTGAAAGTGTGGCTATAATCAATGCATTGCCTAAAAGGAAAGGAATTTTAAATAGAGATTTGATCTAAAAAGAATATCCATGATTTTATAAACTAACTTCCTCAGGAATATTAATAACAACTATGAAACATTTACTATGTGGAAAGTACTATTTTTAGTGCTTTGCATATACTAACACACTTAATATTCTACCAACTCCATGAGGTAGGTAATAATATCATCTTCATTATATCAATTAATTCATTTATCCTTTGAACAAATATTTATGCCAACTATGTATCAAGTGCTATTCAGGATATGGAGGATGCTGTGGTGAGCCTTCCTCTACAGGACTTGCAACCTAATTGAAGGGGAGGGGGATGGTGAGCAAACACTATACGAGCAAAATATAAATTTTGTGTAGCAGATGCTGGTAAGTGCTGTGAAGAAAATTAAAGCTAGGAAGGCTGATAGGGAATGCGAGGGAAAAAAGGGGTTGCTGTTTTAAATCGGAAAAGTAAGGCTCTGAGCTGTAAATTAACTCTTCCAAGGCTACACAGCTAGTTATTGCTGTTAGTTAGGAGAGGTTAGTCAGAATTCAAAGAACCTTAATCACTACACTATACTGTTTCCTGACCCAGAGTTATATCCATGTGTATGACAGTCAATTTATCACAGGAATTGTCTGATAGAATCAAAGACAAAATTTTCAGAGCTGTTAAAATCAGCATATGGCCCAAACCTCCAGCGAAAATGTCTAAGGCATCATTTCGTAACATAGCGTAAGATTATACCCCATTTGACATTAAATTGATGTTCTAGTTAGGATCTCTAATTTACATAGAAATAGCAGTTTAAGTGTGAGTATGTTTATCAGTTCTTGTTGCTCACTGAATTATCTCAAAAAAATGTTTTATTTTACAAAGAATTCCCAGGGATGGTTTGTGTGATGTTGGATTGGCTCTGACTGCTAAAGAACATGACTGTTTTTATAGTGCCAAATGTGGAATCATTATCAATAGGTAATGATGATTGTTCTCAGTATAAAATGGATTCGAAGAAGACAGATACATTTATGATTTTTCTTCCTCCTAGCGTCTTCAAATTCTCTACAACTACCTAAGAGGCAGAACTTAGATTTTGATAGCAGGCTTACACTGGCAAGTTTTTCAGATGTCCACTAGCATTTTACACACTTTAAATGTTAATCAACATCTTAACCTGATGTCTTTAGGAATATTTCCATAAAACTTCAGGGATACCGTACTTGAGAATTTTATTTTAACTTCTAAATTAAATAGGAAATTTCAGGATGCATTTAAATAATTTTGGGATGTGATATAGTTTTTAGTTTCATATTTTCACGTGACTAGACAAAATAATTTTGAAAATGCTTTTTCCATATAAAACAACCTTTTAAATGATACTTTCATTTCCTTTCACCTTTTCAGAATATTATATATAATAATAACCTTTCCTCAACTTAAATAAAAATCACAGAAATTGAGTCTATCCATCTTTGGGGCAAAAATTGGTCTTGCTTCCCCCCCACTGCCGCGCATTTACTCAATAGAATATATTAAAATGAAAAAAGGCCCTTTGCAGTTAGGCCTAGAAAAATTTTCCTTGGGGCTCACACCGTTGTTAGATAAGCCCCTAAAAAAAGTTTGTTTGGGGTTGGTGTAAAAATAAGAGGCAATATGTATTAAGTTCTGATTAAGTCTCAAATACTCTGTGTAGATATGTATATATACATAATTGCATTTAATCCTCACAATTATCCCATGAGATGCAACTATTTTTTTTTTCTTACTTTACTGATGAAGAACTGAGTTTTTCAGAAGTTAAATAACGTGTCATAGGTCAAATCCAAATCCAGCACTATTTGGCTCCAAATCCTCTGCTCATATCAGAAAAATTACACTTGCCACTGAGGGTATAAGATCTGAGGCAGATCCACATACATCTTGTCCATCTCCAGACTCACACACAAGAAGTTCTAACAGGTTGGCCTCCCTAAGAACTAAAAAGGGCCAGATGACCTACGTTTTCCACTGCATGTGTGACAATGCTCTGCTTGCACTGGAGCCATTCCAGGCATCTCACCAGACCCTGAGTGGAACATAATCATTCATTCTTTCACATATGCTCTTCTCTTTTTGCCTGTTGTGCCTAATCCCAGTTTTCCTTCTAATTGATTTTCAACTCATATCAATGGTTGCTGTCTGTGGGAGGCCTGTCTCAACTTCCACATGGCCACAGCTCTTTGCATGCACTGCACTTCATTAGAACTGTTGTCATACCATATCGTATTATTTACATAAAAGTACTATTTACTTTCATGTCTCTTTCATCAGATGTGAGTTCTTAACGGCCATAACTGATAATCTTTGCATCCATCTCAACTCCAAGTGATTACCAAAGATTTGCAACATAGTAGAAGCTCAATAAAAGTAAGTTAATTTGGCTAAAACCATTACTTAGTGGACAATCAGCCAAGCCAAAGGGGAATACATGTATTCCAAAGGGAGGTAACTGTTCCTGATAGCCAATACATATGCTCAAAAGAAAATTATGCAAAGTTGAATAATGACAAAAATAAATTATACAAATATGACACTAACTAGCATGGAGTGTAGGAATACGTACTAGACAGAAAATAAGAACTTTTTGAATTATGGAACCAGCATTACCAATATCTAAATGTAACAATAAAGGAGAAAACGATAAAGTGCTTGATACTAATGTTTTAATTAACAATATGAAAATACATCTCAGAGAGCAAAAGGATAATATGAGGAAAGTGTCTAAATGCATGATGATCAGAATAATTTGGTATAATTAATATTCTGATGAAAAAGGCACAACAGGGCACCATTCGATGTTATTGAATCAACATTAATATAGGAGAATATTTATCATAAAAGTACAAAATAGGGAACTAATATTGACAAGGAAATTTGAAAATAAATTAATATAATGAAACAAGACCAAAGAGAGAGGTAGGCATACTCAGAACATGGTAGATCAGAAAAAGTAAATAATACTTTTTGTTAATAATATTGAAATACAATGCCTAAAAATGGAAAATAATATATTGTGAGTTAAAAAAACGAAATGTTTCAAAATAGATCAGAAAAAGTAAATAATACTTTTTGTTAATAATATTTAAATACAATGCCTAAAAATGGAAAATAATATATTGTGAGTTAAAAAAACGAAATGTTTCAAATGGAAAATTGAGAAAATTATTTGCTTTAAAAGTTTAAAATTTTCTAAGTATTACTATACTGTTCCAGACAGAAAAACTTTTTAAAGGTCATTTATCATGAGAAAGATAACTGAAATGGAAGAAATGTATATTATTGTATTCAAGTAAAATATATTGCAAGTGTGTAAATGTAAATCAAGACATGGGGTCTAAGATATAAAATACATTAAATTGTGACACTCCTGTTAAATCTGGAATGTGGAGATGCCATATGAAAGTTGAGAATCTTCCCACAATTGAAAACACAGGAAGGCGAAGATTCATTGCCCGAGACAGCCTTAGCTCACCAAAGCTCATTCCAATTCCTGCCACCTCAATTTTCATCCAAGACTCTGAATTTAAAAACCTGATTAGACTTGAGTATGTGTACCTCTAAGAAATTAGAAATGGTCTGGCACTTTCCAAGTACCCTAAAAATTATTTTTCAAAATCAAACCAAAATTTGTTCAGTAGTGTAATTATCTGAAAAGTGAGTGCTGGAAGTATCTGGTCCACATTCCAACCCTGTCATTTTCTAGTTTCCAACCCTTCTGTTTGTATTTTTACTTAAAAATCTTAATGGCACTATTACCTGCACTTCAGTGCTTTTGTGAGGATTACATTTTTAAAACGTGTATAAATTTCTTATAACTGCTTGTCACATAGAAATTAACTAATGGATGTTAGAAAATATTTTGTTTTTTAAATAAGGAATAAAGGAGTGGATCAGTCATGAGCAAATGATGGAAGAGATGTAGTATGTTTGCTTGTGTAAGTGCTAGTGCCATTTGAGAACTGGATTTTGGAAGGAAGAAGCCAGTGCTCTGACTCAACATGGATTTTCCCAGATTCCTCCCCACTCCTGTACCTTGGGTCTTGCACAAAGAATGTGATGTCTTGGGGGTTTCAATTTCATCATCTGTAAAGAACAACGAGAAGATATTGTTTTAGACCACTTTTAACTCTAGAACTGATGATTTATTTATAAGGAGGGTATTTTAAAATTCTTCATATGAAGTACTAAAAAAATCTTCATATAAATGTATAACTTCTATTTTTCATAATAGCTCATCTGTTTGTAGATTATCTCTGAAACACTTATTTTTGCCTCTCCCTATACAATATATTGCATAGTTCTGTGTAATTAAGATAACATTAGGATCTGTTCTTCCACATATTAATATTTTATTTCTTTATTTTGAAATATTTGTTCCAAACTGGAATCTTTCATTAGAATACAACATTGATTTTGGTGAGATTTTCATTTTCTCATGGAACAGTTGTTGATATATTATTCCTGAGCCAAAAGCAAAATGTGACATCCAGCCTATCATTTCAGATATTTTTTTAAACATTAAAAAAAAGTGTTCCCAGATTTTTCCAAGTATATTCCCATATTTGTCAACTGTGCTTTGCTTTTTCCTCTAACATAAATAATGATTTTGTTTTAAAATGATTCTATGTACATATTTGTCAGTATTCTTTCAATTTTTAAATAGCTTATATTATACTATAAGAATTTATCTGTGAAGTGAAATACACCAAAATGTCAACAGTGATTTCCTCTAGGTACTGTCATTGGGAATGACATTTCTCCCTGCTTCTTTTACATTTTCATATTTTTCAGTTTTGTTTTTTTTTTACAATGAGCATGTATTATTTTTATAATTAGAAAAAATAAATCAAAAGCTTTTACGGGCCGGCCCGGTGGTGCACTGCTACGGTGCGCTGCTTGGGAAGTGCGGCGGCGCTCCCGCCAAGGGTTCGGATCCCACATACAGACCGGCCGCTCACTGGCTGAGCGAGGTGCGGGAGCAACACCGAGGGTTGCGATCCCGTTGCCGGTCCTGGTCCGGTCCGGGGGCAACACTAAGGGTTGCGATCCGTTGCCGGTCATGAAAAAAAAAAGACAAAAAGAGAAAAAAGAAAAAAAAAAAGCTTTTAAATATTTTTCTTTGGGCTTAAAAACTATTATCAATAATTCAAAGTTGTTATGATATATTTGCTGAGATCAAATACACTATAAAGTTAAATATTTAAAATTAGATATTATATATTTCCTTTTGTTAGCAGGAAAGTGAAAAAAAAGTAACTGTCCTAACTAATAAACTTGTTTTTTCCTAACTTCTAAACAGCTTTGAGAGACTAAAAATAATTGCACATTAGACATAAACCATACTTTCTTATACTTTAAAAGAATTTCAATGAGTTGTAAAGAATTTGGCCAGTGAATAAAAAAATTTATTGTATATGGTGCTACGCATTGTGAATAATGGAACAATGTTGGGACAAATTCCCCTTGCTTAAGAAGCTTCCAGACTAGTGAAAGGGACAATAGAGCATATGTTAGGGGATCAGGTGGCATTCAAGTAGGGCTGAAAAATACATGTTCTCAATTTTCATAACTTTAGTCAAATTGAATTCCTGTAAAGGTACTTGAATAAAAAGTAACGTTGAATAGGGCTTAAGCATATGTTAGGGGATCAGGTGGCATTCAAGTAGGGCTGAAAAATACATGTTCTCAATTTTCATAACATTAGTCAAATTGAATTCCTGTAAAGGTACTTGAATAAAAAGTAACGTTGAATAGGGCTTAAGATTCCTCATATGTGAAGCTATTAAGCAGATTGATGAGCATTACCTACAAGCCTACAAATACATTTTATTGCCTTATGATACTATTAACAGTCAAAAAAATGTATACAGATATGGGATGAGTTTAAGAGGAGGATGTGTTGATTTCCATCTGTCCCAACATTCCTATTGTGATTTAAAAGAAAATTGTAATTGCCTAGAAAAGAGTGCAATGATAAAAATTTAATTAATAAATATAGTATATTTATTTCCAACTCTGCTATTATGCAGTTGTAAAAATGGGGATTTTAAAAGATTCTAACTCTCCCAATATATAGAAATACTAAGACACTAGTAAAAGTGATCTGAAATAGCTCACGAAAACAAACAGTTAAAAAGGTGGAACTATTGCAATAGCAAGGAATAACATAAGGTAGGTGCTATGCATTTAATAGCCCAATGATCCTGAGTAAAATAAAACTTTGACCTTGGTTTTGATTCAAAAGAAAGGTGGTAGAAATCTGGAATAGGGGGCAGTATATTCATAACATGAATATGGCTAAAAGCTTCCCAGGTAGTGTACAGAATACCATTACTAACACAACTAAAATATCCTGACCAAATGCCTTTATCTTATTTTGTTAGCAATAAACAAGTCATAATTACATTCTGGTGTCTAGGACTAATAAACTTCTACTAACAATTTTGATGTTTGAGTTTTATTCTTTAATATATATAAGAACAAAAAAAAAAACCCATGACACTTAAAAATAAAATAAAAGAATGAAAATCGAATTAAAAAAGATAAATTGGTGAAAAGAAAAAAGATAAACTTTTTCAAAGACAAGTTGAATGCATATCATAAATTCAAAGGAAAAGGCCTTGAAATCTTAGTCTTTATAGCCTCAGAAATAATTTGAGCTGCATTATTAAATCATGCAAGCAAGAGAAGCTCTTTTGGACAAAATAAAACCCTTTTTGTAAAGCATCAGATACCTGAACTCACATTTATAATTCAGACTTTTTGAGTAATATACTTTTCAAACAATCCATCATTTTAATTGGAATTCTGAAGTTATAATGAACTATTAGTTTCATAGAGAAAGAAAAAAAAGCAGATATTCAATCTCTGAATCTGAAAGTTGGCAGCTAATAATTTTTCAAACCTTAATAAATTCTAGAAGTACAAAAAAACAATTTTACTTGCCTTTGTCCTAAATTTACTAAGTTATCATTTTACATTTATTGTTAGAATTGATTAATTATTATCTAAATTAGTGAACAATCAATGTAGGTGTTTAAAGTCCTGCTGCTAATTAAAAAACTAATTTACATGATATTTGATTATGAGAGGACATGTCTGCTGCTCTGAGTATTTTGACTTTATTCTGTAGGCTGCGTCAAGCCTCATAATCTAATGTGTGTCTTAGAAGAATAGAGGAAAGAGAAGAAAAGAAACAGGTTACCAGCATGGAGATTCTAGCAGGAGACTGTGAAAGGAAAGATGAAGATTCAGCCAATGGATGGAGCATGGGGAAGTAGAGATTTTTCTAAGGCAGAGAAATAAATTGAATGTGGGATATGGAAAGGGCTCTGTAATAGCTCTGGGGTAATGGGAGCAATAGCGATGTCTTTAAGATATGGAACACGTGAATAGGGCTAAATTTTGCTATGGTGGCAAGGCAGGAGATAATAATGATTTAGCAAATATGGAGGTGGGACATAAATTTAACAATGTAGGGTCTAGGAGGAAAAGTTTGGACTAGAACAGTGATTGATGAGATCCATGAGGTTAAAACAATTTTCATAATAACACTAAGATATAATTTGCCTTTGATGGTGCAAAAGTAATGGAGAGTAAAACAGTTGTCACCTCAGCATGAGTAAAGGCAGTGGTACCAAAGTGTGCTATTAACCACCACGCACTTGTGGTTTTGATTGTGGTGATATATATATATATACACATATGACAGACTCATCAAATTATACACTATAAATATGTGCAGTTTAAGCATGTATATATCAATTAAACATCAATAAACTTGTGAAACATTTCAAGGTAGCAATTTAATAAAATGATTTTTACTGCTTCATCAGGAACATATATAAATGATAAATTAAAATGATTTTTATTGCTTCATTAGGAACATATTTATTAAATCATTTTTGCTGCTTCATCAGAAATATATATAATTGTTCAGTAAAAATCATTTTATACAATTTCTACCTTGAAATGTTTTACAAGTTTATTCATATTTAACTGATATATACATGCTTAAACTGCACAGTTATAGTGTATAATTTCATGAGTCTGATATATATATACACATTGCCACAATCAAAATAATAAAAACCATGCCAAAAATTTCCTCAGCATATTTGTAATTGCTCCCTCCTTCCGTGAACACCAGTAAAACACTGATATGCTTTCTGTCATATAGATTACTTTGCATTTTCTAACATCATACAATATGTTTTCTTTTGTTTCTGACATCTTTCACTCAGCTTAATTATTTTGAGGTGTCTCTATGTTGTAATAGGTATTAATAGCCCATTCCTTGTTACTGGTGAGTAACATTTCATTGCGTGGACATACTGCAAAATGGTTTATCCATTCGTCTATTGAGAGACATTTGGGCTGTTCCCAGTTTTTAATGTTACAAGCATAGCTGCTATCCATATTTATGTAGACCTATATGTTCATTTATTTTGGGTAAATACTTAGTACCAAAATGACTGAATCATATGGTAGGTATATGTTTTACTGTCTAAGAAACTACAAAAATGTCTTCCAAAGTGGTTGTGCCATTTTACCTTCCCACCAGCAGTGTTGAGAACTCCAGCTGCTCAACATCCTCGCCAACACTTGGTATTGTCAGTCTTTTCAACTTCAGCCATCCTAGTCATTGTATATCTTGCAGCAGTTTTAATTTCCATTTCCCTAATGACTAATGGCATTGAGCACCTTCTTGGTATTGTCAGTCTTTTCAACTTCAGCCATCCTAGTCGTTGTATATCTTGCAGCAGTTTTAATTTCCATTTCCCTAATGACTAATGGCATTGAGCACCTTTTCATGTGCTCACTTGCATTCTGGATCTCTTGTCTGGTGAAGTATCTATTTAAATCTTTTGACCAATTTTTTATTTGGATCATTTGCTTATTATTGTGTTTTGATGGTTCTCTATTTATTCATGGTACAAATTCTTTATGATTGTTTTTACTCCTGATTATGAGTAAAATTTCCCTGCTTCTTTGCACACTGGATAATTTTTGATTTTCTGCCACATATTATAAATTTTAGTGTCTTGGGTGTTGTATTCCTACAGGTATTTTTTAGCTTCCTT